GGCCACAGAAATGGTCCGAGGGCTGGAGCAGCTCTGCTCTGAGGCCAGGCTGGGAGAGCTGGGCTTGTGCAGCCTGGGGAAGAGAAGGCTGCGGGGAGAACTTCCTGCGGCCCTGCACTGCTGGAAGGGGCTGCAGGAAAGGTGGGGACAGGCTTTGGAGCAGGGCCTGCAGCCACAGGACAAGGGCGAATGGTTTTAAACTGAAAGAGGGAAAATTTAGATCAGATATGAGGAAGAAATTCTGTCCTGTGAGGGTGGTGAGGCAGTGGCACAGGTTGCCCAGAGCGGTGGGAGATGCCCCATCCCTGGCAACATCCCAGGCCAGGTTGGACGGGGCTCTGAGCACCCTGCTCTGGTTGAAGCTGTCCCTGCTCACTGCAGGGGGTTGGGCTGGGTGGCCTCTGAAGGTCCCTTCCCACCCAAACCCTTCTGTGATTCGATGTGTTTGAGCAAATGTGCTGTCATTTGAGCACTGCTATAATATAGAGTGGTGATGAAGCCAAGGTATGAGAGGCAGAGGAAGGTTGCCCATGATTATGGAGCATCCTGACCTGCTTCGGGACCTGCTGCCCTCACGCTGCTCGGGTTTATTCCCCTTCCAGGCATTGGATGGCTTCTTCTTCGTTGTGAACCGTGAAGGGAGGATCGTCTTCGTCTCTGAGAATGTCACCAGCTACCTGGGTTATAACCAGGAGGAGCTCATGAACACCAGTGTCTACAGCATCCTGCACGTGGGGGATCACGCCGAGTTCGTCAAGAACTTGTTGCCGAAGTCTCTGGGTAAGAAAACCCTTGAGGTGGGGTTTTATGAGGTGGTGCTTGGAGAACGCTGTCAAAAATGACGTTGCGTCTTCAGTGGTACTGGCCTTATATTGGTTTTTGTGTCTATTTTTTATGTATAATATTAATTTTTGTCTTGTTTACGGAGAAATTCAGAGATATACCCAAGCCAGGTAATAATCCATAAACCTTTGCCTAGCGAAATACATCCTACCAGTGAGGTATCAATATTAGATTTTTGAATAAATAGCTGGTGGATGACAATATTCAAGTCATCTTCCCTTTGTCTTTCTCTACTAAGAAAACTTTTGCCTTTGACTTTGGCTTGTGGATGGGAAGAACCGACTCGTCTGCCCGAAGTGAGGAGCACACGTAGGAGCTTTAGGGAAACGAGGAGGAGGATTTCAAGGTGTTGATCTGGGGGACTGAGCCTGTTCACTTATCCCAGTTCATTTAGGGTGTCCTCCCAGCTGGAGGGGGGTTGTCCCCAGCTGGTTTCAGAGCCCAAGTATCTGGCATGGGGATGTGCTGCACCTTGGGGTGTGACAAGAGGTCACGGGGCAAGTGGTGAGCTGATGGTCGTCCCCTACACCGGGGAAAACAAACATTTGCGAGGGTGGAAGGAAGCATCGTGTGATGAAGGCACTTGCGGGGTGTTGGAAGCAACCGAAGCAGAAGGTTTTATTCATTGACTGGAGATGAGCATCCTCCGGGTGGGTGACGTGGGTGAGACATCACTGATCCCTCATCCACTCACACCTTTGAAGAAACACAAGAGAAGATGAGCCTTTTCCAAGTAGCTTGACTTAAAAATAGGGTTTTTTTTTTTAATTCACACTTGTCTGTCTTCTGCATAAATACAATGATGTCTTAAACCACCTAAATCTATGGGCACTCATCAGATTGAGCCTATAGAGGTTCAGGCATCATCTTTTCCCTGTGGTTACCCAGTTTAAGGCTGTGTATTTTGTCTTTCCTTGGGTGTTACAAGCCCCTCAGCTCTTCTTGTAGATCAGGTTGCGTGAAAACTTGATAATCTGCTGGTGGCAAAATCACTTGGGTTGAATATGGATATCCACAAAGAGGTTGTAGAGGGTTAGCAAAATCTTTCAACTGCTGCCCAGAGGTTTTCGGAAAAAAGCCAGGTTATAGAAAAAAATCAAAGAAGTTTTTCGCTGCTGCAGTACCAAAAGATCTTGCTGCTGACTTACACCAGAAATGGGGAGGAAGCGAAGAAAAAATTCATTTCAATGGAGATGTTCAGCTGGACTGGCTGGAGAAGTCCCTGGAGCGTCGCTTTGGGAGGATTTCAAGTACAAGAGCAAGAGGCAGGAGCCTTCCCCAGCTGTGGAAGTGACTCAGACACCCCGTGCCTCAGTTTCCCTGCCTGTACGATGAAGATGATAGCACCTACCATCGATGTAAGGAGCAATTCATAAATGTCAGCACGATGACTCTCATGGTGATGTGCTGTTCTCAGTTAGGGTTGTAGGTGCCCTTCTGGGCTGGCTGGCAGTGTGGGTCTGGGCACGGGGTCTTCAGCAGGTCTGAAGGAGCCCTGGGGGCTGGCAGGGAGAGTTCTGCCCCCGGCTCTGCTCTTGGCTCACCCCTGACCTGGGCAGCAAGCTGGTTTCTTCATGCCAGCACTTTTCTTTCTGTCCCCTTATCCAAGGGGTCCTCAGGAAGTCGGGGGAGATGTGTGCACGGCACAGCTCCTAACAAGCCCTCTTCTCCTCCTTTCTCCATCCCCCAGTAAATGGAGTTCCTTGGCCTCAAGAAGCGACCAGGCGCAACAGCCACACCTTCAGCTGCAGGATGCTGATCCGGCCGCCTGACGAGCCGGGTGCGGAGAACCAGGAGGCTCGTCAGCGCTACGAGGTGATGCAGTGCTTCACCGTCTCCCAGCCCAAGTCCTTCAAGGAGGAAGGAGAAGGTAGGGGAGAGCACCCTCTGCTTCTGACCCTGCTTTCAGGCAGGGCAGGCAGGAGGAGCAGGGTGGGGATGGCAGTGCAGGCAGGAGGAGGAGTGGGATGGAGATGGCAGTGCAGGCAGGAGGAGTGGGATGGGGATGGCAGTGCAGGCAGGAGGACCAGGGTAGGGACAGCAGTGCAGGCAGGAGGAGGAGCAGGGTGGGGATGGCAGTGCAGGCAGGAGGGGGGGGATGGGGAGAGCGGTGCAGGCAGGAGGACCAGGGTAGGGACAGCAGTGCAGGCAGGAGGAGGAGCAGGGTGGGGATGGCAGTGCAGGCAGGAGGAGTGGGATGGGGATGGCAGTGCAGGCAGGAGGACCAGGGTAGGGACAGCAGTGCAGGCAGGAGGAGGAGCAGGGTGGGGATGGCAGTGCAGGCAGGAGGATGCTCAGCCACCACCCCGCAGGGCTGCCCTGGGGGTTATTCCTGGCCCGGCACAGACGATGCCTGGCACGGGGGAGATCCGGGGGAAGATGCCTGAAGTTCTCTGCAGCTTCTCGCTCCCCGTTCCCCTCCAAGCTGATGCCTGCCAGCCATCCCGGCTTCCCTGGCCCTCCAGAGCTGCCCCTGGGGCTGCTTGCAGTCAGTATTCCTTAAGGAAGGAGCAATATTTTATTACCCACCAAAGCCCATTGGCTGCAGGACCTTCCTGGTGAGTGATGTGGGTGCTCGACACCCCACCTTGTGCCTTCACCACTGCTGGACCACGGTGCTGCCCGCATGTTTTTGGGCTGAACTGGCTGCCTGCAGGCAGATCTCTGCCCGGGGACTCAGGACAAGCAGGGGTCCCTCTCCCTCTGTGCCGTGGGGGCTGTTGCTTTCCTGCAAGTGCCCTAACTCTCCTTTTGGTGTCCCAGCTGTTATTTTCCAGCACGTTAGCTGGATGAATCCATTGCGGTTTACACAGGAGATCATGACTGGAAGGAATAAATTATGGTATTTTATGACCAAATACTTTGCCTGAAGCCGACAGTTGCTGGCTTTTAGTGCTGACTTTTATTGTACGATACTGCCAGATCTGAAAAGCCTTTACAATTAATTTCTCCAAGCACTGGAAACCTCTTTTCCAGCAAATTTTATAGAGAGTTTAGAAAGAGGCTACTTGCTTTGAAGGGCCGGAGGATCGCTCAGGGTAAACACTTCCAGGGCAGGACGTGGCAATCAAGCCCAGCAGTGGTATTTTAATTAAAATGTTGAATTGCAAGTGGTGTTTGTAACGTCTGATTTTCATGTTCCCGGTCCCTTCTCCTGCTTTGGCAGATTTCCAGTCGTGTCTGATATGCATCGCGAGACGATTACCTCGACCAGCAGCCGTCACCCCTTCTGAATCCTTCGTGACCAAGCAAGACACCACAGGTAATGTCCCAGCGATGCCGGGGAGTCCTGGCTCGGCAGGATTTGTTCTCCCCCAGGGTCAGAGGCCAGCGGTGCAGTGCAGGACCCCATAGCATGAGCATGGTCCTGTCGTCTGCAAATGGCAGCACTGCCTGCTAGGACCGATGTGGTTGGCACCTCAACTGGAGGCACCTCAACTGAGTTTACACCTCAACTGATCCAATAGACCAGGCCCATGCCCTGCACGCAGCCCCTCCCTGCTCCCTTGGATTTCGGGCGGTTGCTGATGGGAATGAAACAGTCACCTTTCAGATTCAGGTTTGCTCTCGGCCAAATATCGCCTTCTAGCCATTCTGGTGACCTCCTTTCTGGTAGTTACCCATCACTCTGGACTTCCCTGCAGCCTGAAAATCCTTAATGAATGTTTTCTCTGCTCTCTGTTCCCTGCCCATGGCTGTAAAACAGCCAGCAAAGCTGCCTGGTGTTTCATGGCAAGGGAGAAAGCAGGCAGCAGGTCCTGCTTGGAGGACCCTTGGATGTGGGCAAGGTGGCTGGCGGGGTGTCCCACTTGGTGAGGGAATCTGGGGACCCCAGCCCTGGAGCAGTGAGGGTCCCTTTGCACAAAGGTGCTTCTTGTTGGGTCTTGTGTCTGCTTCAGCTGGCCAAGGTGTGCGTAGAGGTCAGTGCACGCTCCAGAGCAAACTCCTTGAACCTCCACCTCCTTCTGGAGGACATCCTTGTGTGCTCCTGCCACTGCTGCCTGACACCAAATAGGACGTGCCTTCATTTTCCACATTTATGGACCTATAGATGCTGAGGGACTTCTGATGCTGTGCTTGAGTAACGTGGCTTCTCTCTCTCTGCCCAGGTAAAATCATCTCCATTGACACCAGTTCCCTGAGAGCTGCCGGCAGGACGGGCTGGGAGGATTTGGTGCGGAAATGCATCTACGCTTTCTTCCAGCCTCAGGGCAGAGAGCCATCTTACGCCAAACAGCTCTTTCAAGAAGGTAACGGGCTCCTCTTTCTGGCTGGCGCGCTCTTCTGCCAAGCAGTGGGAGCTGCAAGGAGAAGCCGGAGCACAGTCCTCCTTGCTGGATAAATGCTTTCTAGAAAAAAAAAAAGTGCTGCAATAATAATCACAAAGTGCCAAAGGGAGATGGGAAGGGGCTGAGTAACACTGGAGGAGCTCCTCCAGCCAGGAGGTTCCCTCTCACCCTTCAGGAAATACAGAATTGAGACAAAATTGACCTAAATGTGATTAATTTTTTTTTTCCTGTGCCATCCGCAAACGCCATCCCCAGTGTCTAAGCAGAAGAAGCGGATGCTCTTTTGTGAGCATCTTTGCTCTGTCGGCTCTTTCATGAGCATCTTTGCTGTGTTGGCTCTTCGACGAGCGTCTTTGCTGTGTCGGCGAGGATGCTCATGACAGGGATGTGGGGAAGGCAGAATGTAGGATCAGGAGGTCGCTGAGCCTCCGGAGAGCTGTAACTCTGCCAGGGTTGCAGCGGCAGCGTCCTGCTGTACCTTCCCAGCCTGGCTGGGGTTCATCAGCTTGTACGTTGTACGCTGGTGATTGAGTGATGGCCCCTTCAGAAGCTCTGAGCACTCAAGGACGGTGCTGGATGGATTTAGATTTATAGAATCATAGAATCATAGAATCATTTAGGTTGGAAAAGACCTTTAAGATCACCCAACCCAACTACTAACCTAACATTACCAAGTCCACACTAAACCAATTAAGGGTAGCCTAGACTAAACCACATCCCAAAGTGCCACGTCTGCCCGTTTTTTGAACGCTTCCAGGGATGGGGACTCCACCACCTCTCTGGGCAAATTTACCCACTGCAGGACATAGGTTTGGAGCTGGAGAAGCAGCAGGGAGGATTCCTGTGCCACCGTGGTTATTCATAACCCTCTTATTTTCTGGGTCTATGGGGTTAGCCAACACGCAGCATGTGGTTTTGTTTGCTGGGATGGTGGCTGTCCCAAGCAGCTTCTCCCTCTCTTCTGCTCCTTCCATCCTCCTCCTGGTGCTTGTAGGGTGTTGTGGGTTCTGGCTTGAGTTTCTAAGGGAGGTTCTTGTGTTTCTGGTTATCTCCTTCAGTGATGACACGTGGCACAGCCTTCAGCCCCTCCTATCGATTCACCTTGAGTGACGGGACAGTGCTTAGTGCCCACACCAAGTGTAAGCTCTGCTACCCCTCCAGCCCGGAGATGCAGCCCTTCATCATGGGCATCCACGTCATCGAGAGGTACGTTCCCACCCCGCCGCTACCGAGCCGTGCCCGCGCCTGGGTGGGCGATCCAGGAATCAAAGTGCGTGTTCCTTGCAATGGAAGGAGGATCCACTGGTGCTCTATGATGCTGGTTTGGAGGTGTGATCCCCATGAGTAATCTGAGGCTGAAAACCAGCGTGACAGCAGCTCTGTTGCTCTTGATTATTCTTGTTTTGCAAAGCAGTGGCCCCGGGAGTTCAGGTGGAAGTTTACAGACATGCTTCAGATTTCTGCCTTGCCCTGAAGAACTTAAAATATTTGGGGAGGGAGAGGCTCTGACAAACTGGCAGGACAGGGAGAGGTGAGGCTGTGGACCTGGGCTGTGCTGGAGAAATGCAAGGGGGCTGGGGCGGAGGGGAGTGCTGTCGGAGCAAGGTCCTCCTCCAGCCATGTGGGAATGTAAGACCCAGAGAACGTGATGCCTTCGGGATTTAGCTGGTGAGTGGCCATAACCCCAAGCAGCATCATGTTTCTGGGGAGATGCTAAAGCTGCTGCACTCCATCCATGATACCAAAATGGATCCAGAAGCGCTGGTGGAGATGGGAAGGCTGAGACCCCCAGGGCTCGCGAGCTGCTGCTCTCCAGGCTTCAGAGCTCTGCAGCATGGACAGGGGGCAGGAGCTACCTGAGTGACACTGAAGGTTTGGGCAAAGCCTTTTGTGACTTTTCCTCTCCTTTTCACCTCCCGCAGAGATCACGGCATGCTCTCACCCCAGGAGAACACTAACTCCGCGATGTCCCTTCCCCGGGTCAGCCCCTCGCTGAACCCCAGCATCTCCCCGGGGCAAGGCATGGCCCTGCCGCCCTCCATCCCTCCCTCCAATGGCAGCATGTTGGCCACCAACGTGAACCAGCAGCCAGGCGCCAGCCTCCACAACAGCAACTCCAGCACCAGCCAAACCAGCTTTGGATGTTCACCTGGGAACCAGATAGGAGCCAACGTTGCCTTAAGCCAGGGACAAGCCGGTCCCCAGAACAGTAACCACACTTTGAACCTCAATAGCTCCCCCATGAATAGTCCAGGGATTACCCCACCACAGTTCATGTCTCCGAGGCATCGGGTCAGCCCAGGGCTGGTGCCCAGACCCAGAGTGCCCAGCAATCCCTTCTCGCCCACCATGCCCACCATGCACTCCCCTGTGGGCATGGCCAACAGCGGTGGTGGGGGCGGCGGTGGCACCGGTGGCACCAGACCCTTTCCCAGTGCCCCCATAAACTCTATGCAGGGGCTGACCGAAGGTCCCAGCACGCCGGTGGGCTACTCCACGCCACCCCCCGTGCTGAGACAGCTCAGCTCCCAGAGCTCGCCCGGCCGCCTCGCCATGCAGCCCATGAAAGCAGAATCGAAGGACAGCAAAGAGATCGCCTCCATCCTGAGCGAGATGATCCAGTCGGACAGCTGTTCATGGCATGGCAAAACAAAAAAGACTCGGGCATGCTGCATGCCGGCGACAGGCTCTCGGAGGGGGACAGCAAGTGCTCCCAAGCCACCAGCCATAAGCTGGTCCAGCTCCTGGCCACCACAGCGGAGCAGCAGCTTCGACATGCCGACGCGGACACGAGCTGCAAAGATTCGTTAGCCTGCGCGGGCACCGCTGGCACCTTGGCCGCCGGCAACCCTCCCAGCAGCACCTGCCCTTCCTCCCATAGCTCGCTGACCGAGCGGCACAAGATTTTGCATAGACTCCTTCAGGAGGGCAGCCCTTCCGATATTACCACCCTGGCCATGGAGCACGAGAAGAAGGAGAACGCCCCGAACCCCACCACCACCCCCACAGCTCAGAGCCAGCTGCCGGGAACCCCGGACATCAAGCTGGAGCCTGACGCGCTGAAGAAAAAAGATGTCAAGGATCACCAGCTCCTGCGCTATCTGCTGGACAAGGATGAGAAGGAGCTTGCTGCAGCCCCGGCGCTGAGCCTGGATGACGTGAAGGTGAAGGTGGAGAAGACGGAGCAGATGGAGCCCTGTAACACGGCCCCAGTGCCGCTCGCCAAACCTCCTGCTGCGGAGGAGGTCAAGCTGGAGACACAGGGCCAGGTGAGTTGACCCATCTGCGTCTGCGCTGGTGGGATCCTCTTGACAAGTCGTGTTTTGGGGGCACTTTCCCCCAGACCTGCTGGTGTGCTCCCTCCACAGCAAGGTGGTGGGGGCTGGGAGAACTGTGGGGCGACGTCCTGTGGCTCGCGCACGACCTTCCACTCCAGCGCTGATGCCACCCTCTGCGGTGGTGCCGCCACCTTCTCCAGCGCTGATGCCACCCTCTGCGGTGGTGCCGCCACCTTCTCCAGCGCTGATGCCACCCTCTGCGGTGGTGCTGCCACCTTCTCCAGCGCTGATGCCACCCTCTGCGGTGGTGCTGCCACCTTCTCCAGCGCTGATGCCGCTGATGTCACCTTCTCCAGTGCTGATGCCACCTTCTCCAGTGCTGGTGCCACCTTCTCCAGCACCGGTGATATCCCCTTTTGTCCAGATGCTTCACATGTTGGCAGCTTAGACCTTCAAGGCGATGGTGGGAAGGGAAGGGAGAAACTTTACCGAGGTGTATAAAAATGAGAAAGAAACACAGCACATCACTGCAGGTGGTGGGCTTGAGTGAGGAGAAGACCACGTGCATGTTGCCGTGTGAAAAGGTTCTTAATTCTGCATCTCTGGGCACATTTAGGGCTCATGTCCCAGGGAATTTTCAATCCATTGCCCTCTTGTTGCCTGAGATTAGCAATTATACGGGCTTTTTAGTTATCCTAAAAGTATTATTAAATTGAATAATCCAGTGACAGATCTCTGCAATAGAGATTTGGGTGTATAAATATTCATTACACACAGCTATGAATAGAAGAGATTTCTTATTTTTGAAAGCCAGGGGAGATGGTAACATGGATAAGGCTGCTTAATCCTTTTTAAGCAAAGAGAAGAGAGTGGCTGACATGAAGAGCAGGGCTGATCGCCTGCTTACTGACTGCGGCAAATAAGGCTGCCGGTGTTTGGAGATACGGGATGAATAACAGAGTGCTCAGAGAGCCTTGAATGACAAATACACAATAAGTCTTTTAATAAGGTTAAGGGCTCAGTTGGCTTGGGAGTCGCGGTCGGTTATCCTATAGGCGAGTGGGAATTGAACTCCGTATCTCTTTCTATAATATCCTTTCCTGGTGTCATCGGCTCGCTGGATGGTACGGCCTCCCCCATCATCTCCCATTTGAGATCCATCAGCTAGATTAACGTGCCTCTGGATGAGGAAGACCCAAGTCAAGATGTGCTCATTTCAGGAGGCACGTGGGAGCTTGCAGGTGGGCAGTGAATCTGCCGTAGAGCCCGGTACCCACCACGATGCTCCAGTGCAAGGCGCAGCATCCTCCCGGGAGATGCACGGGTTATTGTATGGAGCCGCCCCAACCTGCTTTCACAAAGCTGGGAGCGTGTCGGGGAGCGTGGTTGTAGCCGAAATTAGGCAAAATGCTGGGGCATGGGAAGAGCTTTGCTTGCCTGGTCTCCCAGACATCCACGTGCGGGATTCACTCGCCAGCTGGGGATTCAGGCAGGCTCTTTGCTGACCGTCAGTGATGGTTCCAGGTACTCCATCCTTCAGAGAGTGCAGAAAGCCCTAGTCATTAAATGAGGCTGTGTGAGCTAATTGTGCTCTGCTCGCAAACAGGCGCACAGAGCTTGCAGGACTCGAGCCTGGATGTGTTTATAAGCCCCTTTCCTGCGCTGCTGGAAGCAGCCGAGCATTTTTAGGCTCCTTCGTGGCTTTTCAGTTCCAAGTATCCCTCCCCAGGCAGCTGGAGAGTATCAGGATTATACGTTGGACCGCACCAAGTGCTTCCAAAGAGTTAATAAAAGAGGCTGGAGAGGGTTTGCAGAGTCTTAAAATGCATTTTCTGAGGAGTGAACAACCCTTCACTGCTCAGCAGCTCAGGACAGAGTTTCATTTCCACATGTTTTCTGTTAGAGGCTGCTTTGGTGCGGTGTGGAGAGGGGAAGCTGCCATTTCAAATAAAATCTAGCACTTGCTAGATTTTTATTTTCATGTGTGATTATTTTAAGAATCGAAATGTCAATTAGGAGCAACATTAATTGTGGGGCAGGCACAAGGCCTTGAAGGAATTATTTCCTTTCTGGATTTATCCTATGGGAACACCCTGGGTTTGCTCGGAGCCACCTATTTGAGGGGTGAGAACAAAAAAATATTTGGGTAGGGCTTCAGAAAGAGCTAGTAGGAATTACAAGAGTTAAAAAAAAAAATGAAAGGAAAAGAATAAGCAAGGTTTTGGAAGGGCTCTTCATCCTTGTGCTTCAAGGCATGAGCTGAACTTCGGCTAGGTGAAGAGGAGACTTTCCTTCAGGTCACATTGTCTTAAATCTGCCCTTGAGCATGATGCTGGGGAGCAGGCAGCACTGCCTGGGCCTGGGAGCGCTCAGCTGCTTCCACCGTCCACACGTCCAAAGAGAAATCATCAATGTCCCATCATTGGAAGTCTTCAAGGTCAGGTTGAACAGGGCTCTGAGCAACCTGATCTAGTAGATGTCCCTGCCCATGGCAGGGCGTTGGACTAGATGACCTTTCAAGGTCCCTTCCAACCCAAACCATTCTGTGATTCCATGAAAAATAAAGTTTTACCTTCTTTTTTGTTTGCTTTTTGGCCTGAATCTATATTTCAGCTTGTTTTTGCAAGCAGGGTAGAATCCTTTTCTTGAAAAGAAGAAAAAAAGAGAAGTGATGACAGAGAGCTGGAGATCCTTATGGAAATAGCTGCCTCCAGGAACCAGGGCTCCACAGAAAATTCAAATGATCTGAAGCTTGCAATAAAATCGTGGGATTATTTAATTTGTGCAAGTATTTCGTTGCCCAAGTGGCTTGGGAGGAGAAGTGCCTCCACCCCCGTGAAGGTCCAGCCATGGATGAAGGTTTGCTGGGTGGGTACCACCTGGAAGCATCTCTGACCTCCTCGCCAAGCTGATTTCACGTGTGGGGCATCCTGCGAGCTGGCTGGGCGAGGGACGAAGGGCAGATATGAGATGGTGTCCTTTGGTTTGCCTTTTGGTTAGCTCTGGTTTTGGACCCTTGTTTCTGCCGGGAGCCAGAGGTTTGGGGAAGGAGGAGTTGTTCAGAAATATTCAGCCACCCTGTGTCTCCAGCCCTCGCACCGTGGGTTTTCTCACCCATTTGGGGACAGAAATAGGTCGTGGAGGTCTGAGCCTTCTCTGAGCAAGACTGGATGGCCTGAGCTGCTCCAGCCCTCCAGCACTATGCATTTTCTAGACATGGAGGAGAAATAAAATACCCATTAAAGTGGACACAGATTCCAGGTGCAAGTTTGGGTGCTCCAGAAAATAACTCATAAGCACCCTGCTCCCACCACATGTCCTTCATTCCCACCTCTCCGTCCTCCGCCCTCTTCACATACCCAACAAGCAATGCAAGAACTTCGCTGCTCCTGATTTATCTCCACTTAACGTCTGTTTTGGATGCCCACAGCTCGCTCTGTACCCTTCTTCTCCCTCTACCTCCAAAATGACCTCCCTGCAGGAGGAGATGGAGTTAATGAGGTGTATTTCTGCTGTATCGTGGATGTCTACCATTTGCTTCAGTTCTCACTTCAGTTTTGCAAACTTGAGCTTTAAAGAAATTCTGCTTGGTCGAGAATCATAGAATCATGGAATCATTTAGGTTGGAAAAGACCTTGAAGATCATCCAGTCCAACCATTAATCTACACTACCAAGTCCACCACTAAACCAATTAAGGGGAGAGGAATAATTTCATGTTTCCTGGCTTGTTGGCTGGATTATTTTTTCATGAAAGTAAAACTGGGAATCACTAAGGTTGGAAAGGCCCTCTAAGATCATCAGCCCAACCATCAACCCAACACCCCCGTGCCCACTAAACCATGTCCCCAAGTGCCACCTCTGCCCGTTTGTTGAACCCCTCCAGGGCTGGGGACTCCCCCACCTCTCTGGGCAGCCTGTTCCAATGCTTGACCACTCTTTCTGTGAAGAAATTTCTCCTAATATCCAATCTAAACCTCCCCTGACGCAGCTTGAGCTCATTTCCTCTCGTCCTATCACTTGTTCCTTGGGAGAAGAGACCAACCCCCCTCCCTGCCCCCTCCTGTCAGGAGCTGCAGAGCGATCAGGTCTCCCCTCAGCCTCCTCTTCTCCAGGCTGAACACCCCCAGCTCCCTCAGCCGCTCCCCACCAGCCCTGTGTTCATTATGACATTATTTGGAAGAGTTGAGACGTGCAGCCTGCTGCAGGAGTTGAATTTGCTGCATTTAATTCGCTCTGTGAGCCTGGGTTTAGGAGGATATTCTGCTTCTCAGGGCTCTGGGGTTACGATTTGATGGAAAGGATACGGGGGGAAAAGAAAAAGACTGGTTAGTCCATTATAAATTGTAATATTGATGCCTGCTGCTCATGGTGCACTTTTCATCATCGGTGTTGTCTAAACATCATTTAATTCACAACATGCTACTGTAAAGGAAAAACAACCATGTGCCCTGTCACATATATTAAAAAATAGCAACTCATCTACCCAGGTGCTCCATGAGACGGTAGGGAAGCGGGGAAAAAAGAGCAGTGAAGGTCAAGAAGGAAATCTCTGACATGGTGGGGAGCGTGAGCGGGGTCTCTCAGGTCTCGGATGCTGGAGTGGGTTCGTGGTTTCGGTGGAGCCACCGTTGTTGGAGGGTCCATCCCAAGGTGGAGCTTCCCGCAGCTTTGTCCTCGCGATGCGCCGACCTGTGCATCGTGGAGCTGAAACTGGAAGTGGTTGCAGCGGCGATTGGGATTGCCACCGGTTTGGAGGATTTTATATCTGAGATCTGAAATATTTCCAGCTAGGAAACTTCCTAGGGAGAAACAGCTAGGGAGGAACTTGCCATGGTTTCTTCTGGCAAGGGGCAAAGCTGTCACCTTGGTGAGAGGTCTTTAACTCTGCTCCATCGGCCAGGGAGGAGCAGAGGCATCCCCGGGATGCCCAAAGCCAGCAGCCTCCCGGCTTTTTATCACGGGCAGGGGCTGTTGGCTGCAGCCCCACATCTCAGCTGATGGCAGAGCCTCTTGTCGAAGCCAGGATCCCAATTCCTGCCAGATTTCTCCATCTTCTCTGGACCAGAGCATCATTCCCTCCATCAAATGCAAAGATTTTCCCTAGTGCTATCAAGTTGTCTATTAATTACTCCGTGTTAATGGCCAGGCTTACCCTAACGCCGAGGGGTGGCTCTTCTGGAAACGGTATGCGTCCTTAGATTTTAAAGCATTTAGCTTCCCTTGAGATATTTTTCTTTTTAGCCAAAGCTCATTTATCTCAGCCCCTTTAATCCCAACCTGCTGCTTTACAGCGCCGCTATTACAGCCACTGGTGCAAATCCCTTTCCCAGTAACTTTCCCATTTATTTGAGTCCCCGGGCTAAACATCTAGGCTTCCACTCGTAGCGCTGATGAAGGCTGGAAAAGCTGAATGAGATTTTACTGCCCCATTGAGGGTAATTACATGCCCGAGGCCAGCGTCGGTTTTGGACACTTGTTCCAAAAAGTCACTTCTGTTTCTTAGAACAGACCATTTTTTTACTATTATAATTTCAGCGTAAGCATATGTATATTAACAAAGCAAATTATCTCCCGTTTTAAATAGCTGGAGGTTATATATACCGTTAATAATTATGCTAATTGCAGCACGCGAGCATCTCGAAGCTGCCGCCGAGGATGGGGCTCTGGGGTGGGGACACGTGCGCGGGGGGAGGACAGGCCTGGTCCCCCCAGGGTCTGCGTCTGGCCAGGCAGAGGGACGCGGGGCCGGTTCTCCATCCATGTGAGATGCTCAGCATTTCGGCAAGCGAAGGGATGGGGGGAGCAGCGTTGGGGGGCTGTGCGCATGCGAAAGCAGCGCTTGGTCTCGCTGAGGTTGTGCGTTGGGCTCAATCATCGACCTGTGATTTTTTTTTTTTTTTTTTTTTTTTCCCCTTCCTTAGTTTGCTGCCGAACTGGAGCAGCTGGACCAGCTCCTGCCCTCGCTGGAGAAGGCGGCTCAGCTGCCCGGCTTGTGCGGACCGGAGAGAAACGAGAGCGGCATGGCCGGCGTCGCCGTCAAACCGGAGATGCTGGCAGCCCC